GTAAATGCTATTTTGTGAACATTTTTATTTAATTACATATATTAAACAAAATAATGTATGTCAAATATAATATATAATGTGTATGTGTATGTGATGTGTGTATGTTTGTATACACATGTGAATATACATGTATACAAACATACACACATCACATACATATGTGAGGGTTGGGCTACACTGTAAAACATATTTAAAAAATGTACTTTTTTCACCTTAGGAAAAATATATCATATTATGGATTCAGGTAAAAAAATGTGTGAAAGTCAGTGTTCTAAATAAATTTTTCCAGTTGCTTTAAAATCCATGTCCTTTATAACACAGCTTCCTTACTACATCTTTGTATAGGCATAGTAGCCAAAGATCACATATGTTAAATGTTATCACTGAATTACTCAATTGACAAGTTTAGCTTATTGTGTTAGGAGTTAATGATTTAATTGTCTACACATGTAACATATACGTTAACAAATGTAAAAAATGACCATTCTAGTAACATCAGAAAATCTATTATACACAAAATATGAAAATCAATTATACACTAAATGAAATTTCTATGAACATAGCAGAGAGATATAATCAAGCAAAATCAGTTTCTTCAGAGTCAAAAGAAATGTTACAATGTCCATGCAATAAAACTCAAGAATATTACTACAAAGAGAACCCTTGGGGAACTCATTTGGAATTCATTTAAAAATATATATACAATTCAAATAACTTTAGTTGTCAGTTTCCAAGACCACAAGGGAACAGAAATAGATTATTATAGAAGAGAAAAATTGCTGCTATAGAAATGCTGCTGGTACAGAAGAAATGTGAAGTGACAGCCAAGGCCAGGGGAAAAACAGAAAACTTGTATATAAAAATGAAAAATACATGGCATTCTGGGGCCATTTAGCAATGGGAAATCCTTGGGCACAGTAATAATATTTATGGCCCTGTATAATAAATTATCTTCAGACTTGCAAAGTTGAATAAATGATAATAGAAACAATAATAGCTATACCCAGGGTCTCTGGCTCCAAATCCCATGTTTTTAATCATTACACTACACTACTCACTAAAATTTAAAATTACATTCAAGATATTAAAGTAAATTTAAGAAAATACTTTAGAAAACAAAGATGTAATTAATTTTTAAAAGGCCTTCTCCTATAAACTGAATGTCTATGCCCCCCCTAAAATTCTTATGCTGAAACATAATCTTTAGTGTGATAATACTTGGGGCTGGAGCCTTTGAGAGATGATTACATCATGACAGCAGAGCCACCATGTTTGGGGATTGGTGTCTGTAATGGTCTGTTGGCATACTGCTAATAATGACATACCCAAGACTGGGTAATTTATAAAGAGAAAACGGCTGGGGAGGCCTCACAATCATGACTGAAGGTAAATGAGTAGCAAAGTCACATCTTCCATGGTGGCAGACAAGAAGAGCTTGTGTAAGGGGAACTCCCATTTATAAAACCATCAGATCTGCTGAGACTTATTCACTACCATGAGAACAGTATGGGGAAAACACCCTTATGATTCAATTATCACCACCTGGCCCCACCCTTGAAATGAGGAGATTATTGCAATTCAAGGTTAGATTTGGGTGGGGACACAGCCAAACCATATCAGTGCCTTTAGAAAAGACACCTCAAAGAGCTCCATTTCCCCTTTTGGCATGTGAAGATATGGTGAGAAGACAGCTGTCTATAAACCAGGAAGCAAGCCCTCCCCAGATCCTGAATATGTTGGTACCTTGATCTTGAACTTTACAGCTTCCGGAACTGTAAGAAATAAATTTTTGTTGTTTCTAAGTCACCCAGTCTATTCCCTTATAGAAACTTGAACTACCTAAGATACCTATGTATGAAATGATTAAACACCCTTAATAATATAAGCCTGGAGAACTTATAAAAAAAAATCCTTTCTAAATATCTAATATTTTGGGATTCTATGTATTTTTATTTTGATGACAATTTCACATATTTATAATTTTGTAATACTGCATTATCTCATTTAACTCTTCCCTATTAATGTATACTATTATTATCTACATACTGGAGATGAGAAAACTGACATATAGTTTAGGTAATTGTATAATATCACATAACTGGTATCTGATGAAGCCAATATTCAAAGGCATATAGTCTGGCTCCACAATCCCAGCTTTAATTAATGTGCTCTGGGCTACCACAGTTGCAAGACAGACTACGTACTGTGGGGTTTGCATGATATGTCAGGACGCACTATTTAAGAGATTCTGGTAATCCTGAAAACCCCAAAATAACTTGCAGGATCATTTTCTTGCTCACCAATGTTCCAGTTCTACTCATTCCAGGCATTTGTCCACTCCCTTGAAGTTAGGCATGGCCACATGATTTGCTTTTTCAACAGAATGTAAGCAATAATAATTTGTCACTTCAAAGTGGAAGCCTTTAAGAAAAGCATGCAATTCTCCATATTCCTGTTCCTTCACACTTCTCTATTTCTGTTCCTGGCACTAACATTCTAATAGTCATAGATTCTATGACATACTTTTCTAACATTACCCACATCCAAACAGTAACTATAACATATTCATTTCAGCTATGATATGTCTCTTCTGCCCTTTCCTTTTGTCTCATACTGGACATACTACATCTTCTCTAAATGAGGTTTTCTTTACTTCTTGTCTTGCCTACAACAGGCTACTGATCTCATCTTCAGACTCTAATGTGAGTCCATCAAATAGAATGTGTCAGATTAATTTCCCTTGAGCAGATTTTTGATTATAACCTACCTACATCAAAAGTCTGCAATGATTCCTACCACAAGTTTTAAGTATAAACTTCTCAGCAATGCTTTAAACTTCGTAATACCACTTAAGGGCCTAAATCCATTTTTCTAAATGTTACCTTTTGCTTATTCTTAGTCATATTCTATGCTCAAGTTGAAAGGCAACTTCTTATTCCTTCTATTGGCCTAGCTCTATCTATGCCTTAGATCATGTTGATTGCTTTATCTGAAATACTTTCTACAGCCTAAATTCTTAATTCTTTTATAAATATCACACTGTGAAAATGACAAATTTTTCAATATCAATTTCAAATGAAATCTTAATGATAAAGTATCAATATGGGAATATCATCTCTTTTGAATCTCAGATATCTATAGGTTGAAAACATCTCTCTATAGTGTGTTTTGCCATGGTAGAGTGGCAATTTAATTCAATTTACTAAACTGAACTACATATTCAACAGAGCAAATTTTTTTAAAAAATTATCTAGTTTGTCAACAAAAATGTAACAATTACGAGAAAAGTATTCATACTCAGAGTAACATAAGTCAGCAACATGTATAGAATGTCTACTTCATAACAAATGATGATGATGTTGGTAGAAACATAACAAAAGCCAGCATTTACTAAGAAAATACTATGTGTCAGGTACTTGGCAGGCAAGTCCTCATTTGATCTTCAAAAACTCTAAGTTGAATTATTATCCTCATTTAAGAGATAAGGAAACTGAGTCACAAAGAGTTTGCATAACTTGCCGAAGGTCACATGATTACACGTAAACAGTCACAATTCTACTAAAACAGTCTGACTCAAGAAACTGAGCTCCAAAAGAGAGAAAATATTAATTTATATATTGAATATGTTTTATATCCCACAATTTACTCTTTGTTAACAAATAATGAAGGGGGTATCACATGAGTAATTTCTTAAAAAATCTCTTTCAAGTCATACATTTTATCATATGTTACAAGGCAATTATTTCATAAAAGCACAAGACTAGAAACTGAACAAACCAAATAGACTATGAATTCCTTCAGGCCAATGACTGTGATTTGTTTATCTTCATACACTGAGAAGCTGACCTAAAATGTGACACATAATATGTCAGATTTATAATAAGTGAAAGGTCACATGAATTAAAATCAAGACCAATCAACTTTCCTTTTAATGTAGACATTTATTCCTCAAATGTCTACATTGCTTTGGTTCTCCAAAACCAATTTTTGAAAGTGGTCCTCAATAGAGTAACTTCTAAAAAGTATAATAACATGGTTGTGTAGTATTTGAATATACAGAGAAAGCTGTAAAAAAAGAATGAAACTGCCATTGTGAAACAAAGGAAGAAAGAGTTAAATAACAATTTGCTTTCTGGGTAAGAAAGGCAATGGCACTGCAGGTAGAGAAAAAAAGCATGTAAAACAGGTTAGACAGCCACTTAGGCATAAAAGAGCTTATTTAGGAAACTGCAAAGGTTTCAGTATGGTCACAGCATAAAGTATATGTTGGGACTGGCAGGAGGCCAAAAAGACAGATATTGGATAGACTGTAAAGGGATTTAATACCCTACAAAGAAGGTTAGCATTATGTTGACTGTACAATGTTAACTCTTGAACTCATCCTTGTCACAGACAGGTATCTTGCTGGCAGCTAAAACAAAATAACTTGTAAACTGAATTCTCTAAGATAGTAGTTTATAAGTCATGCTATACAAAATATCCTTTTAAGAGGCTGGGGTGCGAGGATCGCTGGAGCCCACGAATTGAAGACCAGCCTGGGCAATACAGTGAGACTCTGTCGTTATTAAAAAAAAAAAAATACCCTTTTTAACTTAGTAACAAGTTTCCACAAATTCGCTCATTTTAAAAGTATGACAGAATATAAGAACTTAAATGATACCTGCTTTTTATTTTAAAGAAAAATGCTGGAGAGAAAATATTTTTTTCCTTCTTGCTTCCCTACTTCCTTATCTTTCCTTGCATCATTATTTTCATTTTGGCTCAGTATGGATAAATGAAGTCAAAGGGTTAAAAGCTGCTATTTTATTTCATTCTATAGCACCATGGAAATCCTGGTACAGATCATTTTTCACTTACTCTGCTTGCTTTTATTATTAGTTCCAATCAAAGAATAGAGACAATTTTTTTTTTTGTTCAGGAGGCTTTTCAACACAGAGCTCAATTTTCTAGTGATGCTGGAAATTCCAAGCAATACTGTCATTAATTTTTAAAAAGCATACCTAGGAGTGCTGTGAGCTTGGGAAGCAGTCCAACTTGTACCATCTTATTCCTCAGTCCTGTGTCAAAGGATAGATTCAGTAAAAGTCTGAGGGTGATATTCAGCAGATCTTCATGCTCACAAGGTATCATTTTCACCAGTTTTTCAACAATATCCATTTCCACCTAAGTAAAATAAAAATACAAATACAGTGATGTTCTGTTGCAAAATAGGACAAAAATAATATAATTATTTTTTCTTTGTTTTTACCCTAATATATATCATTTTATAATTATATGTTAATCTTATACTCCATTTCTATCTGTAAACTTTCCTGAAATCAAACTTTTGAGGGGAAAATATATATGCCACACCATCCTCTCCTTCCCTCATTTAATTGCATCAACTGGAAGACAAATTACGTTTGATCCTCAGAAACACTTTGCATTATTGAATGCCACCTAGTAAGTACCAGGACCTATTCAAAGAAGATCTCATCTTGGCTTTCCAGGATTTCTCAGTCAAAAAAGAGTGTAGGCAGGGCAAAGTGACTTACACCTATAATCCCAGCACTTCGGAAGGCTGAGGTGGGGATCCCAAGGTCAAGAGATCAAGACCATCTTGGCCAACTTGGTGAAACCCCAACTCTACTATAAATACAAAAATTAGTGGGGTGTGGTGGCGCATGCCTATAGTCCCTACTTGGGAGGCTGAGGAAGGAGAATCACTTGAACCTGGGAGTTAGAGGTTGCAGTGAGCTGAGACTGTGTCACTGCACTCCAATCTGGTGACAGAGCAAGACTGTATCAATCAAAAAAAAAAAAAAAAAAAAAAAGAGAGAGAAAAGACAAATAGAATGAATAATGAAAATACTATAACATGATAAAAACATAATGAACAAAATGCTCTGAAAACAGCATGGAGAGAACTACTAACCTACCTGGAAGAACAGAAGACTTCGAATTAGGAACAAAGTAAAAAAAAAAAATGAGTAAGAATTTGTTCTCTGGTTCGGAAAGGCAATGGTAATACAAGTTGAGGAAAAAGCCAGTGGACTAGCATTTAGGAATAGAAGAGCTTGTTAGTGAATTGCAAGTGCTTTGGTATAAGCATAGTATAAAGTATATGTTGGAGATGGGCAGAAGGCTATAAGACAGACCTATACAAATCGTAGAGGCTTTTAATGCTGTACTGAGAAGTTTAATATTATTACATAGGCAGTAAAGTGTCCTAAATGATTTTAAGTCCAGGGAGTGATGTGATCAGATTTGCTCCTACACTAGGAATACTCCTACAATCCAAAGTCCTAAACACTAACCAAGCACCAACTTGTAAAAGGCCTATTTAAAAACAGTATTCTGAGTCCTTTCTGTACAGTCACTAAGGTAGTTTCTGTTAACTGACTGACAAATGAAAAAAGAGGCTTAGGACAACGAAGGAAAAAAATTATTTTAATTTTTGTCATTTAATTTGAGGTGGCATCCAGTGAATATTTAAAAATTGTATAAAACTCAGGAAAGAAGTTAGACTAAAAGTAATAGTTGAAACTTTAGGACAGGGATCAGCACACTATGGTTAGTGCACCTATCTGGCCTGCTATCTGTTTTCATTCAACCTATAAGCTAAGAATGGCTTTTGGCTTTTACAGTTTTAAATGGTTGAAAAAGAAAATTAAATGAAGAATTATATTTCATGACAAACAAAAATTATATGAAATTTCAATTTCCGTTTTGATAAATATTTACTGGAACAGAGCCATAATCATTTGTTTACTGTCAATGGCTGCTTTCATGCTACAACTGGTGCAAGCGAGATCATATGACCAGCAAAACCTATAATATTGACTATCTGGCCCTTTGAAGAAAAAGTTTGCAGACCTCTGCTCTAGAAGATTATAAAATTGCTTTAAGAGAACTTATTTTTTACTCACAGAGGACAGAACTTATTTAGTAAGAGAAGCCCTGCATTCAAATCTTTTAAGGTAGCAATCAGAAAACTTTGGTTGTAAAAAAAAATCTCATGTCTTTTAGTTAAAAAGCAATGGCAAAAAAGCAAGAAATTTTTTTTAAAAATTATAATTTTTTTATCAAAGGATTGATAATTAATCTTGCTCTACTTTTTCTTTTATTGGAGATCTAAAACATTTATTTAGACTGCCCATTTCATAACTGTTGCCATCTTTCACTGACCTCAAAGAAATCACATTAATAATTGAGCCCTTAATATATTTTTTTCATTTCACTCCACGCCAAGGAATAAACACAAATTTTTAAAAATTGCTAAAGTGACAACCTAACACCTGATTTTTCTTTCAGACTTCTATCTGTACTCCATAGTCACAATGTAATCATACCCTAGAGCTGTTCATTATAGAGTATAATTCTATCTCCAAAGTCTTCCAAAAATCAAACACAAAATAAAAGCTGATTATTTGAAAATACCAAAGCAACTGATAACCACTAATCTAAAAAAAAAAAATGACCAATATCAGAAATAAAACAGAGAAAATCACTTCAGCCCTTCGGATAGAGATAAAAAGGAAACAGTACCAAAAATGTTATGCCCATACATCTGATAGCATGTAAATGAAAATAAAGTCCTTGAAACACAAACTACGGAGCTACCACTCAAGAAGAAATAACCTAAACAGACCTATATCTGTTTAAAAAAATTCACAGAAAGAAAATCTCAGGCCTAGATGACTTTTTACTGGTGAATTCTATTAAACATTTAAGCAGAAATAATACTACTTCTGCACAAACCCTTCCAGAAAAATTAAAGAAGGGATGCTTCCCCAACTCATTATATGAGGACACAGTTATTCTAATAATAAAACCAGACCAAGACATTAGGAGAAAAGAAAACTATAGAATAATGCCTCGTAAACACAAAAGTTCTCAAAAATAATAAGCTAATAAAACCTAGCAATATATATAAAAGAGCAATATGTCATGACCAAGTAATGTTTATGTCCTAAACACAAGACTGGTAAACATTCAAAAGTCAATCAATGTAACTCATTATATCAACAGTCTAAATAAAACAAAAAACCATATGATTACCTCAGTAACAGATACAGGAAAGGCATTTCACAAAATTTAACATCCACTTATGGTAAAAAGTCTCCGCAAGCTAGAAATAGAAGAAATTTCTTAAACTGATAGCAAGTATCTACAAAACCCCTACTGTTAATGTCATGCTTAATAGTGAAAGACATTACTTTTTTTGTAAGATCAGTAACAAGGCAGGGACATCCACTCACAAAATTTGTCTTCAGCATCAGACTAGAGGGTATACTCAGTGCAATAAGGCAAGAAAGAGAAATAAAAATCATACAGATTAAAAAGGAAGAAATAAAACTTTTTATTTGAAGACAACACGACTGTTTACTTAGAAAATCTTCAAGAATCTGTGAGTCAGTACAACTAAAAAGTGAGTTTAGAAAGTCACAGGACATAAGGTCAATATGCAAAAATTGATTATATCTCTATAGACTATCAACCAAAACCAGGAAACACGGTAAAATACTTAGGTATAAATTTAACAAAATATATACAAAATACGTATATTAAACTATAAATGATGGAAGACATCAAAAAAGACCCAAATAAATAGAAAGCTATACCATTTTCATGGACTGGAAAAATCCAATATGATCTCTTGATTCCCCCCAATAGATTCAACGTAATCCCAATGATTTTAAAATATACATGGAAAAACACAGAATAGTCAGAATAACTCTGACAAAATATAACATTGGGATCCTCTTACTGCCTGATTTTCAAGACTTACTATAAGACTATAGTAATCAAGAGAAAGAGGCATCGATGAAAGCACAGACGCATAGATTAATGGAACAGAAGACAGAGTCTAGAAATAGAAGCAAGCATACATGGCCAAACTTTCAACAAAGGTGCAAAGGCAATTTCAATAAGGTATAAAGCAATACAATGGATAAAGATGTCTTTTCAACAAATAGTGCTGGAACAATGGGACATTCATATTAAAAACCATAAATCTTGGTCCATATCTTACACTGTATACAAAATTAACTCAAAAGGGATGGATCATAGACTAAAACAGCAATGACAAAAACCTCTATAAAACTTGAAGAAAACATAGGAAGAAATCATTCTGAACTTGGATTAGACAAATATTTTTTTTAAAATAACACACAAATACAATCCACTAAATTTTTTTTATATGCTGGACTTCATGAAAATTAAAAACTTCTGCTTGTCATAGGAGAATGAAAAGAAGCCACAGAAAAGTGAAAATACATGAAAAACATATAACTGATAAACAACTTGTTTCCAAATGTAGAAAGAACTCTCAAAAGTTAGCAATAAGAAAATTAAGCAACCTAGGCAACATATAACCTCTCTGTTGTTCCTCTAAAAAACTGTCTAAAAGTAAGGCTGGTATTCTTTCACATTAAGAGTAAAATAAACTTTATTTAAATAAATAAAACTACCTCACAAATAGCTCAGCCATCTTCTCATTCCTTTTATAAATAAAACTACTACAGGTCAATTTTCACTAATTATATCAGGTAGTATTTTCCCTTTGTAAAAGCAGCAGTTTGAAAAACTGCTTTTTCAAACTGTAACCAGTGTTACAGTTTGCTGGTTGTAACACTGGTTGTTACAGCAAAACTTAATTTAAAAAAAAACTTGGAGAGTTTGTTATTAATTTTTTTTTTAGATGGGTTCTCTCCCTATCCCCTAGGCTAGAGTGCAGTGGTGTGATCTCAGCTCACTGCAACCTCCACCTCTGGGTTCAAGTGATTCTCCTGCCTCAGCCTCCTAAGTAGCTGGGATTAAAGGTTTGTGCCACCACGCCTGGCTACTTTTTGTATTTTTAGAAGAGATGGGGTTCCACCATGTTGGCCAGGCTGGTCTTGAACTGCTGACTTCAAGTAATCCACCTGCCTTGGCCTCCCAAAATGCTGGGGTTACAGGTGTGAGCCACCACGTCTAGCCTATTATTAATCTGTATTTCTAATGTGCAGAATAGAATGTGAAATATGTGCCATTAATCAGTCAGATGTTTAACGCAGCCTTCTAATCATGTCTTTTTGGTTGATAAAAACTCAATCCTCAGAGCTAAATTTAGTAATTGCCTCAAGATGCAATGCCTTCAAGTCTATTTCTTTCTTTTCCTTTCTTTTTTTTTTTTTTTTGAGACAGAGTCTTGCTCTGTTGCCCAGGCTGGAATGCAGTGGCACAATCTCAGTTCACTGCAACCTCCACCTCCTGGTTCAAGTGATTCTCCTGCCTCAGCCTTCCAAACAGCTGGGATGGCAGGCACGCACCACCACACACAGCTAATTTTTGTGTTTTTAGTAGAGACGGGGTTTCGCCATGTTGACCAGGCTGGTCTTGAACTCCTGACCTAATATAATTCACCTATGTTGGCCTCCCAAAGTGCCAAAGTGTATTACAGGCCTAAGTCATCATGCCTGGCCCTCCTCAAGTCTATTTCAATAATACAGACTTATAATCAGTATTTTTTTTAACAGTCTATGTTAGGTGAGGGTTAACCAACAATCTATCAGCAAGTTTGTTTCAGTCATTAATTGTACCTTTCTCAGAGTTTCTGGAAGCTAACATTTAAAAATGCTTATTGTAAATCTTACTAAAAATGTCTTTTAAAAAAAAAGACCTAAAATATTTTTCCCAGGAGGCAAAGAAGAAGAGTAGAAAGTTGAGTATCTAGAGATCTGTTTCCTTAAGCAAATTAATGTCTCTGATCCTTTCCTACTTCATCTGTGAAATTGGGAGGGTAGAGTCACTAAATCTAGCCGTGGATTTAAGGCCCAGTCAAATCATAAAAATCTTGATTCTGTAGATGCCCTTAAATAAAGTATATTTCTTCCACAATAAAAGATAAAATCCATATCATCACTAGTAAAAATCTGGGTAATCAAATACTTCTCATGATCGTGGAAGAATAACAAACATTTCTGAACCTCAAGTTTATCCTCAATAAAAAATGAAGTTTAATGAGACAATTTATATCAGATATTCCAATTCTATGATCTTATCAGAAAACAACTTTTAATAATAGTCAAGATCTTTTTGATAGAATAAGCACATAACTATATTAGCTAAATCTAGCTCTAATACATACATAATAGATAAATGCTGTTATGAATCAATTTGGATTTTGAGAACCTACTAAAAGTGAACTTAATTTGATCACATAAATGGAAGAACATGCTTCAACTTATAACAAGGGGAAGCAATTATTTGGCCATACTCTAACCACTCAGGACTATTTATATACTACCATGTTATCATATTCTTCTTAAATAAAAGTGAAAACAAAAAACGTGTTTGATTGATCTAAGAACATCAAATCTCAAACTAATATCAGGCACATCATGAACATAAATATTTATATACTGATGATGAAAATGACAGATACTAAATATATAGGGGTAAAATAAAATTTCATATATTCAATAACTAGAATTCAAGGTACTTATTAAATCTGATAGATAAGTCTCGGGTTTTCAAAAGGCCTCTATGTCATTCACTATAGTATCAGCTACTTCCTAGTTCTTTTGATTTTAAAATAAAGTAGGCGGACATACTATACATTTAGACTATCTAAAGGAGAAGCTACTTTAGTCAGTAATACACAGCCACAAAATGATATATAGTTCTAAAAATTATCCTCAATGGAGTTAAGGTCAATGATCCAATAATTTCATTTATAGAAACCTGCTCCAAGAAAATAAGCAGAAATACATAGAAACACGTATGTGCAAATATGTGCAGTGAAGTATTACTTGTAATAGATAAAACTGTAAACAACTCAATTATCTGAAAACAAGGTAGCATTAACATAAGAGCTATCGAATATATTATTGTACATAACAAACTTTTTAATGACATGGTAAAAAGCAGATAAGATTTTTACTTTATATATTTCTATACTACATATATTCTACAAAGGTGAAAATAATATATGCTCAATTTGTATTTCCCAAAGATCATTGTATCAACACAATAAAAGATGGCAAATGAGAGCCTAGTATAATAAATTCAAGCAAGAAATAAAGAAGGTATGAATAAAGAGGATATGAAATATACAAAGGCACTAGAAATGAAAAGAAGCAATATTATAGTTTCAAGAGATTTTTGAAGAAGCAGAATCAATAGGTTGTGGCTACCAAGTAGAACAGTAGGTAACAAAGAAGAATTATAGGTAACAAAGTGGAAGTGTAGGTAACAATGAAGAGATTTGGCTAAATTTTAATTCCACAAACTAAAGTCAGAGATGCAGAAGGCAAAATAGCTTAGGGTAAAAGAATAAGATCAGGAGACTCTAAAGGAAAATTTTAAATTTAAACAAACTTTCTGTATATTATGTTTAATATGGCAAGATTCATTCTATATATTAGAAATGATTTTTATTCAGAAAGCTTCAATCAACTGAAATATTAACTAATATGGAATACATTTCTTAATAAAGCTATATCAGTGAATTATTGCTGTTATAAAATCTTTACTCAGAATTATCTCAGTAGGGGAATAAAGTGTTTAATTTTTATCAAAATATTCTAACTTGAAAATGGCAAACACGAACAATTTCAAGAAAAAGCTTTGTAAGTTACCATATCATTTTTATTCTCCATGAAAATGCTGAGTTTCTTCAAGAATGACACAACTAGAATGAGCAGCTCAAAATTGTCCCGATCGAGAGCCTTCACCAACATATGAACTATGTTCTTGTTCCTCATTTTCAGTTCGGTACGAGTATCCTCAGCAAGATTCAGAAGCAAATAAAGAGCAACTAGAAAAGTAAAATATATGAGAGGTAAATAATTAGTATACTGATTCAACAATTTAGAAAATCATTTCTACTCACCAAGGTAATAGAGATGGCCCTAAAAATGTATATTATTCTGAAAAATTTAACTGGTTAGTAATTGGTTAATTAGAAAACATTTGTTGTTACTAAATGCCATATATATATGTTATTTAAAACAAAACATATATATAAAATAATCCATATGATGCTGAGGACACAATAATCAAAATAAAACAATGATTCCTGCCCTCTTGGAGCTTAGAGTTTACTAGAAATCAAATGGCAATTAAAGATAGATAAGTCAGGAAAAAATAAAGCAGACAGGGAAAAATAGTTTTTATACATATAGAAAACAAGATCACATTATAAAATTTTAACAACTAAAGTCTGCAGCTAAGAAGTACGACATATATAAGAAGTCCAGGGTCGGGCACGGTGGCTCACGCCTGTAATCCCAGCACTTTGGGAGCCCGAAGTGGGTGGATCATGAGGTCAAGAGATCGACACCATCCTGGTCAACAAGGTGAAACACCGTCTCTACTAAAAATACAAAAAATTAGCTGGGCATGGTGGTGCGTGCCTGTAATCCCAGCTACGCAGGAGGCTGAGGCAGGAGAATTGCCTGAACCCAGGAGACGGAGGTTGCAGTGAGTCAAGATCGCGCCATTGCACTCCAGCCTGGGTAACAAGAGCGAAACTCCGTCTCAAAAAAAAAAAAGGAACATTTTAAGTCATATAACTGTACTCCTGATCTAAAAGTTAAGTAGAGATATGGGAGATAAAAAATATTCAAACTTCTATCACTGAAAACTACAATGCTTGAGACTGTAAACTACATGAAATTAACAGTAGTTTAGAGATAGGAGAAAAAAAGATTAGTGAAACTGAAGACATAATCACAGAAACTATCCACAATTAAACACACAGAAAAAGATGGCAAAAATGTAAAGAGTAACTGTGAAACAACTTCAAGTGGCCTAATATATGTTTAACTGTAGTTCCTGAAAAAATAGTACCAGAAACATTTCCAAATCTAGTGAAAATTATAAACCCAGAGTTTCAATAAGCTCATTAAACTCCAAAAACAGAAACATAAAAAAAAATTACACCAAGGCCTATCATAATAAATTGCTCAAAATAAATGGTACAGAGACAATTGTAAAAGCAGTCAGAGAAAGACATAATAAGAATAGACAAAAAGAGCATGACAGCAGACTTCTCATCAAAAACAATGCAAACAAGGCAACAGAGGAGCAACATCCTTATAGTATTAAAAAAAATGTTTTCAACCTAGAATTCTAAACCCAGTGATAATATTTCAAAATGATAAAAATATTTTTAAAATAAGACTTTTTTAGATACACAAAAGTTAATCACTGGTAAATATGTCCTACAAGAAAAATTAAACAAAACTGCTCAGGCAAAAACAAAATGACACCAGACAGAAATATGAATCTACACAAAGGAATAAGATCAATAGAAATGGTAACCATACATGTAAATATAAAAGATTATTTTCTTATTATTTAAATATCTTTAGGCCGGGTGCAGTGGCTCAAGCCTGTAATCCCAGCACTTTGGGAGGCCAAGGTGGGTGGATCACGAGGTCGAGAGATCAAGACCATCCTGGTCAACATGGTGAAACCCCGTCTCTACTAAAAAAAATATACAAAAAATTAGCTGGGCATGGTGGCACGTGCCTGTAATCCCAGCTACTCAGGAGGCTGAGGCAGGAGAATTGCCTGAACCCAGGAGGCAGAGGTTGCGGTGTGCCGAGATCGCGCCATTGCACTCCAGCCTGGGTAACAAGCACGAAACTCCATCTCAAAAAAAAATAAATAAATAAATATCTTTAAAATAAAATTGATTACATAAAATGATAATGTATTATAGGGTTTTTTTGTTTGTTTTTGGGTTTTTTTTGAGATAGAGTTTCGCTCTGCAACCTGACTAGAGTGCAATAGCGCAATCTCAGCTTACTTCAACCTCCGCCTAGCTGATTCAAGTGATTTTCCTGCCCCATCCTCCTGAGTAGCTAGGGACTAAAGGTGTGCACCACCATCCCCAGCTGATTTTTGTTTTTTGGTAGAGACAGTGTTTCACCATGTTGCCCAGGCTGGTCTCAAACTCCTGACCTCAAGTGAACTGCCCACCTGGGCCTCCCAGAATGTTGGAATTACAGGCATGAGTCACTGCATCTGGCCTTATTATAGGGTTTATAATATATGTGTAAGTATAAAAAATGTTAGTAATAGCTTAGATGTGGGAGAGGGAAGAAATGATTCTAACACTAAGCATGAAATGGTACAAAATACTTGACAGCAGACTTAAGATAAATTAAAAATGTATCACTTGTAGTTAGACAATTATGATTAAAGATGTATAATATAGGCCAGGTGTGGTGGCTCACGCCTGTAATCCCAGCACTTTGGGAGGCCAAGGCAGGTGGATCATGAGGTCAAAAGATCGAGACTATCTAGGCCAACATGGTGAAACTCTGTCTCTACTAGAAACACAAAAATTAACTGGGCATGGTGGCACACACCTATAGTCCCAGCTACTTGGGAGGCTGAGGCAGGAGAATCGCTTGAACTCAGGAGGCTGAGGTTGCAATGAGCAACATAAAGAGATGGCAGATAAGCCCATCAAGAGATATGCAACATAATCAGTCACTAGAAAATTTCAAATCAAACACATACATTCATGGTGAAAACATAAAAAGAACGATTATAGAAAAACATTTGGCAGTTTCTTATAAAGTTAGACATATACCTATCATATGACTCAGCCATTCCACTAGGTATTTAACTAAGTAAAGTGTATGTCCATACAAAGACTTATAGATAAATGTTCACAGAAGCATCAAAACTGCCAAAAACTAGAAATACTCTAAATGATCATCAACAGGTGAATACAAAGAAATACTATTCAATATCAAAAAGGAATGAACTATTGATAAATGCAATAATATGGATGAATCTTTATGCTGACTAAAAAAGACAAAAAGGAATGCATACTATATGATTTCATTTATATAAAACTCTAGAAAATGCAAACTAATCTAAAGTGAGAAAGCAGATCTGTGATGACTTGGGAATAAGGGAGAAGGGAGAAGGAAGAAGGAAAGGGAGAGATTACAAAGATGCATGAGGAAAGTTTGGGAGTGATGGATATGTTATCTTGATTATGGTCATAATTTCATGGGTATTTACGTATGTTAAAATTTATCAAATTGTGTACTTTAAAATCGTACAGTTATTATCTGTCAACTATACCTCAATAAAGCTCTTACGAGAGCATACAATATTAACACAAATAAAATATTTGGTTAGAAACAGAGCTTAACGTTTTATATGTTAAAAAAGTCAAATTAGTTATTTAAAACTTCTACATAAAAACAATTGCTTTCTTGAGATCTGATGCATTTTGGACTATATGCTGACATAGATAATACCTATTATTTTCTACCATATTTTAAAATTAACTTTGGAAAATCTGACATTTTCTCCAACAGGTTAAACTAAATTATTTGGTTTCAAATATTTTAAAAACTGAGTGTAGTTAAAATTGCTAGTAATCCTCACAGAATGAAAATATTTTGGGAGTTAACAAGTATTTCTATTACAAAGTTAGTCAAACAGCAATGAACTAAATGAATCATCAAACAGTCAAGTACAAATCAGGAATTCAATTCACACTTAAAAGCCCCACGTAATTATCACTAACTAGCAAGAGATTTTTTATCTCATCAGTAACCAAAACCCCATATTATTGAAGTTTTACATCTCTTAATAAAGCTAGAGACAAGGAATTCTTTTCTATTAAACAAGAGAAATATTTTGAAAATTTTATATCAATTTCCAAGGAAAGCAACAAAATAATTCACTTTATAAAACAAGTCAGTTAGGGCTGAAGAGACAAAGATTCTTATCATTGAAAAGGTCACACGCTGGATTAAAAAATCCTTTCTCAGGAAATAAATAATAAGTATATTTAGGAACTAAATGGGGAAAAATACTGAGTGAAATTTAAAGCATTATCCATGCTAAAGACAGAAGAACTTGTAGCACATTAACATTTTAGAACTTTCAGTTATTCTCACATTAGCTTTATAGGTATGACAAAAAGCGAAAAAAACAAATGTATTTTGAGTAAGTACTTTGTTACTTTTCTCATTGCTTAGGAATTCATACCTCGTAATAGCTGTTCCTGTTTTACCACAAGCCCCTGGTACTTTTTTAAAGTTTTTTCATAATCCTTTCTCAAGGTCTGGTTTTCAGGGTCTTCATCAAGTAAACAACTTGTTAAGGATTATCCATATTCATTCAAGCAAAAAAAAATCTATTGGTAAATTCTATGAACAACGGCACTATTAAATTTTATATGCAACTTTATCCAGTTATTTTGTCTCACCAAAAGTTTAACTAAAATGTTCTCGGCACAATAATTGTGCTGTAACAGGACTTCTTATCTAAGTGGTCATGGATTCCCTGGGAGTCCTTGAGTGAACAAATATTTTTTTGTATAGCCCACAGCTAACATCATATAGATGTCTGAACCTCACCAAATACCTAAATTCCCAGAAACTGTGAATATTTTATGCCGGTGCACAAGTCTATAACTTTCAACAGATTATCAAATGGGTCCAAGAACCAAAAAAATTACTGCTTTAGAGAGGGATTTAATTACTAAGAACACTGGATTTTACTTAAGACAAATGCCCAGAATATTCAAAGGATATAGATTAAATCTAATGCTTTTGTGGCAGCCTTTTCAGACTAGAGATGCCAAGAAAGAACTACCCCAAAACTAAAGGTAAACAAATTTTTAAAATCACATCTTTTGGTCCCAAATCATCCCCTGGACACCTTGCAAAAATAATCAGTTACTTTAGTATCTCACACATATGCGTCAAGCATATGACCCCAGAATATGAGTCAAAGCAGCTGACCTTGTTGAATACCACTTGTATCAAAATACAAAGAAATTTAGGACATAAAAAAATGGTAACACATCAGAAAAAATGGCCAGAATTCTGAGGTCATTTTTATATCCCTTCAATTACCATAATCTATTCTAAGACACATTTTCCTCTTATCTTAACATCTTCAAAATTGGATGTGTATTATAATCCATTATGTGTCATAGTTAAATTGAAAGCATATTTTCCTATTATAGTGGTTAGTGAATTTTAAAATTAATGGTGTCTGATACAGAAATATAATGTGTCCTAAGAGATGAGTTCTTGCCACCAATCAAAATGCAAATTAATGATTGCTAAAGAGTTTCACTAGTTGTTCCCTCCATAATTCTCCAGTTTTAAATAAATCTGGGGTACCACTGAAGCATTCGGGAGCATTGCCACTCCAGAACTGATATATAGGTCTCAAGGATTCTTGGCTGGTTGATGTAGTTGAGTCAGTATCAATTTAGATGCCAGAAGTTTATGGTATGCATAGAAAATTTATAAACCTGAAAAGATTCTAAGTAAGAAAAGTCAAAGCCTATGTGTGAGTGTGGATTTTATAGTATCTTGGAGTTCCAAGTGACAATAATAAAAGCCTGAGAGATTCTGTAGACAATACCCTGAATTAACCTATTACAACACAGATTAAATTGAACCCTCAGGGTTTCTGGAGGCCAAAATCAACATAAAAGTAGGGTCTACTTTTGCACAAGGGAGAGTTAAAAATGTATGATATTCTGTACAACAGGAATAAAGTTTTCACTTTTTAAAAGACATCAATAAACACTTGATTCAAACGAAAGTTATCAGTATGCCTCATTGATCTGCAAAACACATTATGCTTGAACAGATATAAATAAACCAGGGGCCTTTGCTATAGAAGCATTAAGTTGTTGAGGCTAAAATATGATAAATATCTTCAAATATGAGAATTATGATGTTGAAGAAAATATCTTTATTCTATATTGCTTTAGTATGCAATACTAGAACCAATGGATAGAAGTTATTGGGAAATGGACTTCAATGCAAAAGACTATTATAATAAACAGAATGCTAAACCACAGAATGGATTAAATCAATAAGCAGTGACATTGTTAAAGAACAGCCTATATGATACCATTTGTCAGGGAAGTTGCAGAAAAGACTTTTATATTTGCAAGATACATTAAAACAGATACCTAAATTTCCTTTCACAGGTTCTATCATTCTAGAGGCCTTTCAAATTTGTATTTATTAAGAAAAATATTTTTGTACTTTCCTAGAAAAATAGAGCTTTTAACGAGGTTCATCACCAAATTTACACCCATTTTAACTGAAGTTACCTTAGTACTCAGATAGAAGTACATAAGCAGCAGTGGTGAGCCACACTCCAACTAACCAAAGGATCTTAGTGTATGTAATGACATAATCATTTAGAGGCTCATCTACTAAGTTACCTGACACAACTATTACCTGCTCCTTCTACCTCATCAACTAAGAAAGGTCGTGAAGAGACACAAAGCGAATGTCAAACTGTATTCATTTTGATGGTTTCAATCTTCTTCTTACTTTCAACAATGCACAACTGCATTGTTTCCAAGTAATGCAATTAACAATTTTTTAAAAAGAACAAAACCATTCCACCCATCCAAAACTTACAACCAAAGTCAACAGAGGGTTCAAATGCCACTGTAAAAGGATATCAGCTTTCTTCTTCTTTGAAAGTTCTTCTTGCCAAAGCTCATGTCTTTTTAACTCATGATCAATAATATTCATACACAGGGCTCCAATTTTATAGTGAGTAATAAGTCCATGAAACTGAGAAAAGCTTTAAAAAAGGCATTTTAATATATATTTAAAAGAATACATTTTATCAGTAGGGAATATTTGCTTTTAGTGATCACTGGTACAAATCATGTAGAAAATAAATTTGATACACATATTTTGATAAATGAATATATCCACACTATACTAGGAAGACTTGAGATTATAAAATTACTTTAAATATATTTTATCACATTACCCTTACCTAAAATAGTTATTTTTAAGAAGTTAGAAAGTAGACACTTTTTTGTAATTAACTCAGATACTCACAATAAATTTTTAGATTATTGTCTAACAAAACTAATAATGTAACAATACTAGACATACACTTTATTGTATAAAACTGACATCAGAGAATTAGTAAGTACTAGTAATAAGGCTATACGTGTTTTCTAGATAATTCATTCATCCAAGTATTTACTCAATAAATATTTATTTGCTAATACTAGCATATTTTTAGAACAGAAGCAGCAATTCTCTAGGAATTGGCAAGAAACTTTTCATAATTTCTTAATAAACATCTTCTTTGTTAAGGTTATATAATTAATATGGATACATAACAGGTATGTGCACATACATGCATATATATAACAATAACATTTACTGAGCACTTACTCTGGATCAGGCTTTATTCTAAGTATTTCCATTTTTAATTCATTTAATCTAAAAAACTATCCAAAGAGGGTGCCACTATTACTATGCAAATTTTGCTCATGAGGAAACTGAGGCATGAATGAGTATAGACTACATAAAAGACAGAATAACAGCAAGACAGACAATGGGAAACAGGAATAAGAATTCAGCAGTAGAGCATAGGCAGGCACACAAAAAAACTGAAAATGAGTGATCTACAAATTGAATCAATGATACAGACAAAAAGCAATAGACATACAGTAGTTTTTTTGTTTAATAGTTTTTATACTTACCTGGAAAAGCAAAAAAAGATGTAAATTATGTTTGTAGCTAACTCAACACTTTGTTTCCAGTCTTCTCTCAGGACCCTTGCTAATGCACCAAGGGCAGTTTCTAAAGAAAAAGGCGAAGTACTGAAATGATTATTCTCCATGCTCTGGTATAAAGGGTGATTGGTTTTAAATGTCTAGTTATTAATAAATAACAAAGCTAAGATAGAACTGGGGCAAAAAGTAGGATGCTTCTTTCCAATACAGAAAGCTATTTTTAAAACCAAAATGTAATTTTACTTAAAAATACATAACATGCTGCTTCAAATATATACTGAACACAGAAATAATAAAATACGATTTAGATAAAGTGTCATAATATGTATGTTATGGTGACAATAAAATAATTAAAAAGTTATTTCTTAATTTAACAATCTTAAATTAAGAACTGTAATCTTAATTTATGACATTAATTTATGACATTTATGACATTAAAGATTAAGAACTGTAATCTTACTAATGCAGTCCTGACTTTTCTTTTTAACATCTGATTTACTGTATTTGATAATACAAAAAAAACTTGAATAAGTCTAGAATAAAATGAGTAGGTTAGTAGACTAGCACTCATTCCATTAAAGCAAATTTAAAAACAAATAAAATTTGTACACAGAAAAATTGGTCTTTCAGTATTACACTGAATTTACGCTAATAGCCACAAATAAAAAAAAAACTTTCTCAAAATTAACTTTCAGGTAGGTTAATAAGCATTTCTGCTAAAATTCTATCTTGAGGAAACAAAAATTAAAGTAATGACACTAGTTTCAAATCAGGTTGGTACATGGCATACTAATTATTAAAGTAATTAAAACAAAATATATGTTAAAATATACAAATCATAATTCCACTGTTTTTAATAGGTACTCAGTATTTACAATAGTACTTTATAGACTGCATTATAAGTATTTATTATGGTAAATGTTCCATATTTGAACTTTCAAAAATTACTGTATTAGTTATGAATCCACGTAGTGACAAATTTTTTACCAAACTAAAAATCATCCTATGATCGCATTTCACAGTATCATTCACATTCACAATATAGAGAACTAGAATAGTATATGCTTTGGAAAAAATGATTTTGGAGTCACATAAATAGGTTGGCAATGCATATTAACATGCAAAGCCTCCAAAAAGTCCTACTTAATCTGGTGTAGCATTATTCAATCTAGTAATTCCCAAAGGCATCTGACCATTATAATACAGAGAAAAAAGTATTTCTTAAAATACTAGCTTACACAGAACTGTTCTATAATGTCATAAATTTAGGCCTAGGTTTAGTGACCTATTTGCCACATTTCATTTTATATTTCTCCTTTAATACAGAATAAAGAAACATCTCAATAAAAATATAGTTACAGGAGTTGTATACAGTTTACTAAGAAACAGCTAAAATATAGTTTACAAGAGGTCAAAAGATAACCCAAAATTAATTTCTACATTGAATGCAATCATAATCAAAACTCTTGTTATGACTTTTCACAGAATATGATGAAATAATCTCAAAATATATAAGACAGATGTGCAAGATCAGCAAAACCAATTATGGGAGGAAAGAAAGCAATTTGGAACATTTTTCCTACATATTCTAAAGTTAAGTCAAAACACAAAACAACACAATAGTGCGGTATTGGTATGTAAATCATCAAATAAACCAATGAAATAGAGGAGAGAGAACACTAAAACAATTCCATGAAAATATGCGAACAGTGCCTGCCACACAATAAGTTTTCAAGAAGTATCTATTTCATAAAAGAATGGCAAGCATATAGCAGAAAAGCCATTTGAAATACTTATTTGAAAGTACTGACTAACAAAACGATTGATTTGAAATATGTTATTCATGTATTTGTCAACAGCCAGAAAAACATTCTCTCTCATGTAATGCAAACCAGTTAATAAAGACATCTTTCCTATTTTGTTTTTGGAAAATGTATAATCAGAAAACTATGCATTTAAAATGATTCTAAAGGCCAGGAACAGTGGCTCACACCTGTAATCCCAGCACTTTGGGAGGCCGAGGCCAGTGGATTACCTGAGGTTAGGAATTCCAGACCAGCCTGACCAGTATGGTGAAACCCCAACTCTATTAAAAAAAAAAAAAAAAAAAGAAAAAAATTTGGCTGGGCATGGTGGTGCATGCCTGCAAAATCAGCTACTCAGGAGGTTGAGGTGGGAGACTTGCATGAACCAGGGAGGCAGAGGTTACAGTGAGCCGAGATCGCACCACTGCACTTCAGCCTGGGCAAGAGAGGGAGACCCTGTCTCCAAAAAAAAAATTCTATAGTGTTGTTACTAAGAAAAGGGTGTTAAAAACATTCTATCTCCTTTTCTTGTTATTACCAAGTACTTCTAGTGAAAGAAAAGCAAACACTTGATGTGAAATTCAATCTCAATGAAACTGTAAAGATTAATAGCTTTCCCTGTGCTACTAAGAAAAAACTAATATTGAACTCTAATTTAATAAAAACATGATATATATATCTCTAGGCAAATGTCTAAAGTTTGATCTTTTATCCTAATTAAAAGAATAAAACAGTTTTCCAGAGTAGAAGAAAAGGTACAGTACCATTAATGCTTAATTTTCCTTGTTTAAATTAAATGGTTTGTGAATTCTCCTGAGAATAAATACCATGCTCTCAATTTAAGAAATCTGAGTAAGAAAAAAAATAAAGAGCTGGAAAACATATGCATTCTTAAGTTTTGTATAAATATTGTTTTTAACTTATTCCTCTATTATAATTAAACATGCTTTACACTAATTTTCTACTTTTAATATTTACAGTTATAAATCACCATTCAATAGTAGTTCTTCCAAGTTATCAGGATTTCGAGCAAGCTGCAGGATCAAAGCAGAACCCCGAACCTTATCAGGAATATCTTCATATAATAACTCAATATATTCATCCATATCATTAATGTTGGCAACTTCATCAATCTGAAACAAAGGAAGAGGCAGAAAATACTTATCAACAATGCTCAACAGATTCATTGTCAAAGAAATGTTATTTTGTGATCAATAACAAATGATATTTTGTGTGGCCTTTATAACACAAATTTCCAAAGAACTCAGAGTAGCCACCTTTTTGGATAGGAAAATTTTAGACTTTTAGACCTAGGACTCTAATACAAAACCCCATAATAAAATGAAATGTATATAAACTTTTTAAATTGTCTATCAATATAAAGTATCTCAAATGTAATATAAAATATTTGTATCTACTACAGATTAAATAATATATTTCACAACATATTACAGTAAGAATATGTAAACATTTTTACCCATCATTTATTAAAATAAATTGTCTAAGAAGCACAACCAATATTTTTTGTCTTTTTCAATTAAATAATGTTCTACCTTCTTCAGGTACCTCTGAATTCAATCATTTTTTAAAAATACCACATGAGTTTAATGTGATTATGTTACTGATGGAAAAAGGCAATGTCTTATAATCCAGTCTTCTATTAGATCAGAAATGCATGCAGTCTTACCTCCATTCCTTCAAAAGGAGGTGGATCTTTAGGCTTGCTTGATTTTTCTTTTTTCTCTGTAAAAATATTTTTTTTAATAAGGAAAATTAGGTTTTTAAGGTTTCTAGGTAATTTTTATTTTCAGCAGCTGAGTTTAATTCTAGCTAAACTGGGGATGTTAAAACTAAATAGTTTATGAAATACTCTTTTCTCAATGTGTAAAAATGATCATATATAATCCACTTGATCTAATGAGGATATCCAGGAGAGTATAAATTAATAAAGTCTATAACTAATCACCGAATTATGCTAGGTAGCAACTTCCTCCCTGGTTAACTTTTTGAGTAGATAAGGTATACAGCCAAACTTGCCAACAAGAAGCAAAATAGTCTGTTCTCAGTATCCTCTCTTTCCATTTCTTTCTTTCTTTTTTTTTTTGAGATGGAGTTTCGCTCTTGTTACCCAGGCTGGAGTGCAATGGCGCGATCTCGGCTCACCGCAACCTCCGCCTTCTTTCTGGGTTCAGGCAATTCTCCTGCCTCAGCCTCCTGATTGGCTGGGATTACAGGCACTCGCCACCGTGCCCAGCTAATTTTTTGTATTTTTAGTAGAGACGGGGTTTCACCATGTTGACCAGGATGGTCTCGATCTCTTGACCTTGTGATCCACCTGCCTCGGCCTCCCAAAGTGCTGGGATTACAGGCGTGAGCCACTGCGCCCGACCCCCTCTCTTTCCATTTCTAAATCAAATTTAAGGTAGGAATAGGAAAATCAATAAGGCAAAGAAAAAAGTGTAACTTGAGTAAGAAACAAGCTAAAATGAAAATTAACAAAGCAGAAACAAATAAAAATGGGTAAATTTAAAAGCTAAGATACAGAATAGTTGTTAACTGGTTCTTTTTAAACAAGGAAAACTAAGATCATAAATTGAAAGGCAAATATTTATTATTTGTGTTAATTAAATCCCTAGTTAGTCCCAAATAAATAGTTATCCAAATTAGCTGAACACAAGTTTGAGCCATTTGTTCTTTGGAATTATCTGATTAAAGGTATAGTTTCATTTTTTAGCAAAAAAACTATCCAATATACTTTATTGATCTGGATCATAAGTCTAAATAATATACGCACATTAAAGTAAGTTAGAATGGTATCAACATTTTTGATTCCATAATTAGCAAATAAATATAAATGATAGAATTAGTCATTATTTTCAGAGGACAGCACCCATTCTATATAAGCTCATATATTCTCAACAGCTTAATTCTGCTTCAAACAGATAATTTACTAAGACAGTGGTTTTAATTATGCAAAGAAAAAAAATCACTGAATGTAATGAATCACATAACCAAATAAGTATTATTATTTTGTTTCAATCACTTTAAAGATAAAGTTTCTGGCTTTGACATACTGCCTATCAAAGGAGCTTTAACAAACACCAATAGTTTAAAAAGTATATATTTAATATACACTTCCTAAAGCATTTCCTAGATCTTCAACTATTAATAATACCCTACACCAAGGCAGAGAAAATATTGACTTGAAATATGGATAAAATAATGACATGAAATCTTTTCGTATTCCTTTAATTTCTGGGGAGCAAGGTAAAACCACTGATTTGCCCTGAGAACTCAGTGAAAGAGTTTTTACTAGTTTAAAGATATTTTATTATAATGCCTTCAGAATTATATTAATTTGGCACTATGAAAGATCCACTTTAACTGTACTGTTACCTATAATAAGACACAGATATTAAAAGACTACCAGATTTGCTTTTCTACTTCGAATTTATTGGACTATGTGATCTCTCATCATTTACAGGTATCTTGACAAAAATGTCTTGACATTTTCCTTATCTACATAGTACTTCACTGAATGCCAGCTATGTGATTAGAAGCAATCATGTTCATTCAAAATGCCTATTTTTGCTTTTAAATAAATTTACAACCATTTAATTCATTCAACAAATATATATTGATCATCTATCTTAGATACTGTATTCACAACTAATAAAAGTATATTTTAAGTACAAGGCATTTTATTTGCTGTGGATGAAAGGAGACTGATTAATTGGAAAAAAATTCCAAACACAATTTTCTTTCTTTTCCCCTCTTAGTCTAATTAGAACTTGAGCGTTTATATATTTTAAGAGCACCAGCTAGGCACACTGGCTCAGGCCTGCAATCCCAGCACGTTGAGAGGCAAAGGCAGGAGGATCACTTGAGCCCAGGAGTTTGAGACTAGCCTAAGCAACATAGTGAGACCCCAGTCTCTACAAAAGTGTAAAAAATTAGCCAGGTGTGGTGGCACATGTCTATAGTCTCAGCTGCTACGGAAGCTCAAGCTGAGGGATAACTGGAGCCCAGGAGGCTGCAGTGAGCAGTGATTATACCACTGCACTCCAGTCTGGGCAATAAAGCAAGACCCTGTTTCCAAAAAAAAGGCACCATATGTACAAATATGTACATTTAGTAAATACTATAAAATGGCAAAACAAAATGAAGCATTCAATAATCTGAGATAATTTTCCATTAAAATATCTATGTTTTTGTTTTGATTTTTAGTTTAGATTATTTTATATAAATGATCATTTTCTCAGCTCTAATATATTAGTGGGTTGGTTCTTTTATGAGAAAATGGAGGATAGGAGCATGGCAACAATAGAGACGCTGAGGAATAAAACCATAATATTTTCCTAAGAAGGATTAATAGAGATGGATTTGAGGTTTCCTCCCATCTCCTTTTTTGGTGACCCTACAATTAAACCCCGTTTCTTCTGCTGCAACCCAGTGTTTTAATGTATTGACTTGCTGTAACGGTTAATTTATTGCTTAAAGCTCAGTGACCCCTCCACATTTCAGAGGCCTGGAGATGAGTTCAAGTGGCTGTCTGGCTTCTTTAAGCCAGGGCTGTCTCTGGAGCCTCCCTTGCCAGCAAGGCATGTCAACCTTCACATAAGCTTGCTTGCAGTAGAGAAACAGTTTCTGAATCTGAAAGACTTCTCTGGTTTAAGTATTCCCAAGCGCAATCGACATCCCTTTTGCCTTCTGATCTGTTGTTCTCCTTAAAGGTCCTATTCAGAGGTCCTGTTGACCCTTCCTAATCTGTAAAAGGGGCCCTGTTTGAGGGGAGTTTCCCCAGTTGGAAAAAGAATAAAGAGCAATGTTTGGAGGAAGTACTCCCGGACAATTTGGTTTCAGTTATGAAACCTGGTTTTATAATTCTGACTTATTGGGGTCTCATGTCTGCTCTTATGTTGTCCTGTTTTTAGATGGGAACCCAGAAGGAAACATTAGCAGAAGCTCAGTGGGCCTTACAGGTGGAAAGGAAGATCTGTTTTGCCTGTTTTGCTAGGTTAAAACTTGGATACTGAGCCAAGTAACTGGTGTTTGTCTTTGATACATGTACACTGTAATTTTGTCTCGGTCGATATGGGAAATGCTCACTTGATCCCTCCTACCTCAAGCAGCCCCTTGGATTGTATCTTGCCAAACTGGACAGCTTTCACCTATGAACCTATGAAAATAAAGAAAATGTTTTCTTTTGTAATCAGCAAGCAGGGTGTTCAAAGCTCCGCACTTTTGGAAGCCACAGTTAAGAGAATCCAGGACCTGACAAGCTGGCAACAGGGTAGTAAGAATTGTTTACCAGTCAGGTTCCAGATCTCTGTGTGAAATCTGGTTGAGCAAAAGGTAAGAAATCACTGTCTCCTGCAAGGTTTTGATTAACAGGATAAAAAGATGTATGTGACCAGTCTTAGGAAATACTGACTCTGGTATACTTTTTGGTTTATGAATATTCATACTGTTCCCTTTCCTTCCAGAAATAATCTTTTCTTTGTCTTTCTGTGTTCTTCATAAAGAGAAGGTACTAGTTGAGGGTTCTTCTCATCTTGTTTTGTGTCCTTGAGAACTTGACCTGTGACCAAGTGGGAGCTTTATCAAACAGAACAATTCCTTTACATCACATACTTTGGTTTCAATAGTTACTTCATTTTGCTTTTCTTCTACATTGGCTACCTTCTTGGAGACCACAGGTCACAGAAGTATTTCATATTGCCCTACATAATTTTCCACTTTTGTGGGTAGCTTTGAGGTTAGTGACCTGAGTTCATACAGACCCATATCTGTGCTTTTCTCCTGCCTCAAGACCCAACTCAGCACTCTTTTACTTTTATTTTAGCCATTAGATAACAATAACCAAGGAATTGAATATTATACTTTTTTCATATTAGTTTGCATTCCCTTATACATCCAGTGAACCAACTCCCCAGAAGTTTTATCTATCTCCAAATTCACTGTAACTTTCACGTTTAGTAATGGGGCATGGCCTAGCTGCAGTTCCATGCCATGGATGACCACACAGTCACTCAGGAATCAAAGGTTCCTCATCCCCCACCCTTTTATTTTATAGATCAGTATCATCAGCTCCCTAAGGAACCTAGACTGAAATGGATTATGAGAGTAACTAATTTGGGAGCACTGTCTTTGGTTTTAAATGCTGCAAAGTGAAAGAACATGTTTGGGTTGGTACAGTACCCACTGCTCACTATTAAACAACTGCAAATGGTTACACATGATCCAGACAAACAGGAGGTTATTAGTGACAAAAGAGTCAGCCTAATGAACTGGATAAAAGTCCCTGTAAGGTCTCTTTACCCTGAGAAAAGGACTGTCCAACTCCACCTATAATTGGTGGAGTACCCCAGATGAAGCAGCTTATATGCAAGCCCTATGGGACTGGAGTTATGATGACATAGATATTCACCCCTTGAATATGCCCATTACCTACGTCATAGTCAGCTTTTCCTCAAGAGTCTTAGAGATACAGTAGAAAATAATTAGGTTAGTTAACAAGGGAATGGTGAAGGGTAGAAGGGAAGGTCAAAGGATTCATCCCAGGAAGATGGGAAGTTTTAAACAGTTATTAAGAAATATGATGAATGAAGAAAACATTGATAGTAGTAAAACTAAGAGGAAAAGAGAAGGGGAGAGTCATGGGACTCATCCCAGCAGAGTGAAAATCTTCAGACAGTTATTAAGAAATGGAATTAATAAAATGGAAATTAATGGGATTGAAAGAAAGATCTTAATTGCTGGTTCCCCCAGCATTAAAGGGTACCAAATCAGTTTTCTGTATTTACCCCAATTGGAGACATTTTTTAAAAAATCAGGGACAAAGATCAAAATGAGAAATCTGAACAATTGCCTGGGGTGATGTTGAGGTGGTTAATCAACACGAAGACTGACTAAAAAAGCCTTGGTCCCTCAGCTAAACCGTCTGCTGGGAACCCAATTCTCTTTTCACAGGAGAGGGTAAAATGGTCTGGGAGTGAAAAGAAATTCTTGGGGCCAGAATGTAAAATATAAGGGTGGGTAGGATTATCAAAGTTGAAATGTTTAAAAGGGCTTTATGTAAAGTAGTTGTGTATCTTTTACCTAAATGTCTTATGAAAATGGATATTGTATCTAGCTAGAGGATGTTTCCTCTGCCCAGTACTGTAAAACTGAAGGGATACAAATCTGCCCTTCAAGCTATATTAACTGGACATACTAAAATGGGAACCAGTAAGATTCCCCAAGTGCACTGAATATAGAATAGAAGCCAGAGTGCTGGTAGGAACAAATTCTCCACTTCATAGCCTTTTGTGGAATGTTTACTGAGGCTTATGGCAAAAGTCCTGCAAGCATGTCCTATTGATGACTACTGTGACTCTGGACTAGAGAATTCCCACTTAAGAGGCATTTACTGCCATGTTATAGGACATTAACTGAAGACACCCTATGTGAAGACACACACATAGGGTGTCTTCAGTTAATGTCCTATAACATTATGTCTTTTCCATAATGACATAAAATGATTATGACATCTGAAATACCCACGCTATTGGGGCAATGTCAGAGAAACAGTCTAACTGGGGATAGCAGTGCCCAGAAGCATTCCATAATAAAATGGAGATAGTTTGTATAGGATCATGCTACTTGGGAAATTCAAGGAGGAGATACTCATTAGCCGGGAGACTCTTTTTCCCCAGGACTGACTCTGAAATTGTGTGAGAAGCTGCAGGAGTCTACAGTGCCCATTAAACAGCTTTCACCTGACTGACAAAGAACTGCCTGGTTTATGAATGGCAATTCCAAGGTTAACAGACAACATTCTGTTAGGAAGTCTGCTACTCTGACTGAAGAGGAGCCAAGAAAACATCTTTTTTTCCTTTGAGCTATTTATAGCTTATGACAAGCAAAGTATATCTTTCTGAGAAAAATTTGCCTTTCTGAGTTCTCAGAAGTGTGGAAACCATTCATAAGTATTCTTTTATGGCAATATAGTTATTTGCATAAGTTCTATAAGAATCTGCTTTCTTTTGTAGCAGGACACAACTGGAGATGCTGGTTACTTTACCAAGGCTTTGATTGGATTGGCATATTTTCAGATATGACCAGACTGCTTTGAGGAATTGATGTTGACTTTATAGAGTCAATAAAAGCACCTTGGAAAGACTGGCCTTCTACCTTGTCTATGTAGTTTCTTTATAGAATTCTTCACCTGTGATAAGTAAAAAAAAAATGTTACTTTTAAGAGATCCAGAAACCTCAAGCTATTTTGGGACCTCCACAGGAGATGAGTTCACCCAATTCATACAGGTATCTGCAGGCATGGACAAATCCTTGGTTTGGCTAACCTTGAGGCTTTTAAAAAGTTGAAATTAAGATTCCTTATGAAAAATTTCCTGCAAAGTCAACTTAAAAGAGCCTATATGGCCAATCACTATTCTTGACATACTTTATGCAGTCAGGCCAAATATAAAACTTATTTTGCAAATAAATTGGTCCCACTATAATTTGTCTTGGGTAGAAATGGGGCACTGGAGATAAAAATTTTGTTTCAAAAGAAACTACAGTATACCTGTTTACTAGATTCTAGCCTTGCCTATTACTTTTGAGTTTTTATTGTTTTCTACAATTTGAACTAAACCTGAATTATTTCCTGGCTACAAGTCTTCAAACTAACATTTTCAAAATTTTCTTCCATTTTTCTGACTTAAACTCAGTAAAGTCATTATTAACTTCTTCCAAGGCCATGCAAGCTGAAGCTCGTACCTTGTAAGACGGGCAAGAAAAACTTGTCAGATTGCTACTGCTTATTTCCACTTTAACTGAGATGCTTTGAGTCTAACATTTAGACACACCAACTGACTTCATTTCAGACTCTAAGGAAACTGGTTTATAGATTGCCCCAAATACCAACATGTGTTTTTCCTCTGTTTGAAAGCTAGTCTACAAAGCATCTCCTGAAATGAGACACAGCTGTCTAATGGGCATGGCCTATTCTCAGGAATGGGAGACTGGCTTACTGGAATCCTCTGCCACTCAGCTATTAACTCAATTTTTCTACCAACTCCATTTTTTGTGTGTGGAACTTCTACAAAAGTTTCATACAAAGGATGCTGGGGCTCAGAAATATACACCTCAAAATAAGGCATGTTGACATGCTAAACTGAAGAAGAAAACTGCTAGGCCTAAACTCTGGCATAGATGGTTCTGGATAATCAAATTACATTAGATTTCCTCCTGGCAAAGCAAGGGGGTATCTGTGAAATAACTAATACCACTTGCTGTGAATAGAAAAGATTTCCAAACAAGCTAAATGGTTACAAGAGGTGCAGGCCACCTTAACAATCTCTTTGGCTGGCTTCCTACGGGAAGGGGAAACTGGTTTTGGTCTGCCTTACAAACTCCTGTTATTATCATTATTGTCATTTTGCTCTTCTTTCTATTCCCAAAAGACAACAGGGACTAGTAACAAGCACTGACATTTTTGTCATGCAGAGTTGGAACCCTAGACTTGGCAATCATGAACCATGTATAGGCCACTGCTAAGCAGTTTCATTCCTCAAATCCCAATCATGGTCCTGCTATGTGCATACCTTGTCAGCAGAAAGCTGCTAGAAAGGTCGTCCCTTGATGCCCTCTTTATTGATCATACTTCAGGATTGAGGATGAACAAGAAAAGGGGTAACTGAAACTGTCCCCAAAGGGTGATAAGAATTCTAGGCCGAGTTCCAGACAGAAATATAATTAGAACTAAACATTAATTAGGCTACACTTTGGCCCATTCCCTTGTTGCTAAAAGTCATACAGTCAGTCAAACATACTGACCATTTGATCCCCAGTGTTCCTACAGACAGCATCTCTGACGTTAGAATCATAAAGCTTTTGCTTAACGATCATTTAAAATGGTTTTCAGACACTGAGTCTCAGTGAAATAGCTGATATCAACCAGTCTGAAGACCCTCATAGAGGAATGAAATCAGCATGAGAATACGGCTTCTTCATCATCCTCTCACTACTTCACCTTACGCTCTCTGACCAATCAACACTCTCCACACTTCAGCCTAATCCAAAACCCTTAAAAACTCTAGCCCCAAATTCTTCAGGCAGATGGATTTGAGGTTTTCTGTCATCTCCTAGTTTGGTGACCCCCAAATTAAACCTCTTTCTCTGCTGCAAAAAAGAAAAAAAGGAAGAGAAAAAAAGATTCATGAAAGTTATACCTTTAGGATAGTCTAAGATATGTATTTTAACACATAATCCAGCTAAACTGTAAACAAATATAAAAAAGAAGTTTATAAAATATCATTCTAGTTGGGGCAGTGAAAATAGGTTTTCTGGCCCAAATTCTCTCCTTTTGTTATTCTAGAATCAATATGACATTTACTTTTTTATGCCTTATTTCAGTATATGTGTACATACACAACACATGAAAAATAATTAGACCATTTTATGAGGAAGCAGCTAATATAAAGCCTACTATGAAAAAAAATTATGTTTATTCTTTGTTGTTTACCCATTCATAGCACTGGTGAAAAAAACCTACCCAACATCAAATATTAAAAGTTTGATGAACTTTTGTTTATAGTTGTTTGACAAACTATAGTCAAACCACTTTCTGCATTAGGAAGTCAGGAATTCTATTACTTACCTTTTCCTGACAATGAATCACGGCGGTTCTGTAGGTAGTACAATAGTTGTTCTACCTCATTTAGTTTTGAGGGATGAATGAGTTTACATTCTTCAACCACCTTCCTTGCCAGGGAAATTATATCTGTGTTGGCATTGAGACTCTTCAGTCGAATGCTGTAAGCATAATAGCAGTTTTCAACTCAGGTATTGTAAAAGTAATAACTTCAATACTACTACTATAGAATAATTTATAGATTATACATTACTATAGAGAACTTTGCCATAGACTCTTAGTAAAATAAACTAGTAGATATAATTAGGCTTAGAAAAATACAAGACAGTGATTTTCTGTGAGCTAGACAAACAATATAACAAAAGGAACATAAAATCTTTTTCCGCCTCTCTAGACAAGACAGTATATTCAGAGACTCTGTTTTAAAACAGTATTTCTGATATAAAATATATAAAGTCTCCATACTATCACAAATAAATCATTTTCTTGACCATACCCACTAATGCTAACTTATTTTCAGTTAGGGACAAGACACAATATCGATAAGTTCAGATTCAGTTGTTCTGGCGGTTATTATACAGAAAGTAAAAGTAAAAAAAAGTAAGATCCACTTTAAGATCTATATGAGAAATTTTGAGGAACAAATGTATACATTTTATGCTTAGATTAGTACATTAAAAATCAATAATGAGCCAACCACTCCCTCCTTTTAAAGTTAGCCCACGAGACTCACTGGGAACCCATTCAGAAACCATTATTAAGAGTTTGGAAACAACTGTCTAGTTACATGGATTCATGGTACCAGGAAGAGGTATAAAGACATAAAAATAGGTTCAAAGTGAAGCATCTACTTGGTCAAAAGACTGTCAAGGAGATGCTCCCATGCAAGGTTCTTTTCAAAAACAGAAAGACAAGCAAGCAGAATTATTTCATGTTAAAGATGGCGAATTTTTGTTGGAAGACATCAAGGTACTAGGAGGGGCAGGAGTGGAGATCTCAGAGTAATGTCCTGTAAACTTACTATTCATAAGTAGATGATTTCTCCTGAAACTAGTACAGAAGTATGACTTATTATTCCAAGCTATATATTCAACCCCAAATCTGGGTCTCCTGGGGTTCTACAAGCTACTTAAAAGCTTTTAATAAATTCCTTTTCTGTTTAAATTTGCTAGAGTGCCTTCAAAGGCTTAAAAGAAGAATCCTAGCAATAGTCTGTCCCTTTATTTTATTTCTACCTTAATTTATTTGGGGTTTTTTTTGGTTCCTACCTTTTTAGTCTCTTAAATTTATTATATTTTTATATAGTTTTAGCTACACATCAGAAAGTATAGAGAGAAAGAAAGGTAAATACAGAGAAATTCTAAAAAGACCTCTAAGTTACTTCCAATTGTTGGCAATTATGAGTAAAACTGCTATAAACATACATGTGCATCTTTTTGTGTGAACATGTTTTCAACTCACTTAGGTACATATCTAGAGGCACAAGGAGGGGCCAAGATGGCAGAAAGAAAACAGCCCTGGTCTGCAGCTCCCAGCAAAGGTGGGTGTTTCTGCATTTCCAGCTGAGGTACCCAGTTCATCCCACTGGGACTGGTTAGACAACGAGTGAAACCCATGGAAAGCAAGCAGAAACAGGGTGGGGTGTTGCTTCACTCAGGAAGTGCAAGGAGCTGGGGGACCTCCCTCACCCAGCCAAGGGAAACTGTGAGGGACTGTGCTACCCACCCTGGGTACTACACTTTTCCCACAGTTTTTGCAATCCACAGATCATGAGAATCCTTTGCCTACACCACCAGGAACCTGGATTTCAAGCACAAAACTAGGCGGCTGTTTGGGCAGGCACCGAACTAGCTGCAAGAGTTTTTTTCATACCCCAGTGGTGCCTGGAACCCCAGCAGACAGCACTGTTCACTCCTGTGGAAAGGGGGCTGAAACCAAGTAGCCAAGTGGTCTCACTCAGTGAGTCCCACTCTTTCTTATGGAGCCCAACAAGCTGTGAACCACTGGCTTGAAATTCTCACTGTCAGAACAGCAGTTTGGAGTCGACCTGAGACAATCGAGCTTGGTGTGGGGAGGGGGATCCACCATTAGTGAAGCTTCAGTAGGCATTTTTCCCCTGACAGTGCTAAGAAGATAGAGAGCTTCGGACTGGGTGAAATTTACCACAGTATGGCAAAGTGGCTGAGGCCAGACTGCTTCTCTAGATTCCTCCTCATTGGGAAGGACATCTCTGAAGGAAATGCAGCAGCCCCAGTCAGGAGCTTACAGATAAAACTCTCATCTCCCTGGGACAGAGCACCTGGGGAGAGGGATGGCCGTGGGTCCAGCTTCAACAGACTTAATCTTTCCTGTCTGCCAACTCTGATAAGAGCAGTTGATCCTGACAACGGCGATTCTCCCAGCACAGCACACCAGCTCTGCTAAGGGACAGAATGCCTTCTCAAGGGGGTCCTTGACACCATGCCTGCTGACTGGGAGAGACCTCCCCACAACGGTTGACAGACACCTCATACAGGAGAGCTCCGGCTGCCATCAGGTCAGTGCCCTTCTGGAATGAAGCTTCTAGAGGAAGGAACAGGCAGCAATCCTTGCTGTTCTGCAGCCTCCACTGGTAATATCTAGGAGAACAGTCTAGAGTGGAACTCCAGCAAACTGCAGCAGACTTGCAAAAGAGGGGCCTGTTAGAAGAAAAACTAAGAGAGCAACAACAGCAACATCACCAAAAAGCACCCCCCTACAAAAACCCCATCCAAAAGTCATCAGCCTCAAAGATCAAAGGATAAATCCATGAAGATGAGGAAAACCCAGTGCAAAAACACTGAAAATTCCAAAAACCAGAATGCCTCTTCTCCTCCTAATGATTGCAACTCCTCTCTAGCAAGGGCACAAAACTGGATGGAGAATGAGATTGACAAATTGACAAAAGTAGGCTTCAGAAGGTGGATAATAACAAACTCTTCTGATCTAAAGGAGCCTGTTCTAACTCAATACAAGGAAGCAAAGAACCGTGATAAGGGGTTACAGGAACTGCTAACTAGAATAACCAGTGTAGAGGGGAACATAAATGATTTGAAAAAGCTGAAAAACATAGCACGAGAAGTTCGTGAAGCATAAACAAGCATCTACAGCCGAATCAATCAAGTTGATATCAGAGATTGAAGACCACCTTGCTGAAATTAGGCGTGAAGACAGGATTAGAGAAAAGAGAATGAAAAGGAATGAACAAAGCCTCCAAGAAATAGGGGATTATGTGAAAAGACCAAACCTATGATTAATTGATGTTCCTCAAAGTGACAGGGAGAAGGAATCAAGTTGGAAAACACACTTCAGGATATTATCTAGGAGAATATTCCCAATCTAGCAAATCAGGCCAACATTCAAATTCAGGAAATACAGAGACCACCACTAAGATACTCCTCGAGAAGATCAACCCCAAGACACATAATAATCAGATTCTCCAATGTTGAAACAAAGAAAAAATGTTAAGGGCAGCCAGAGAGAAAGGACAGGTCACCCACAAAGGAAAGCCCATCAGAAAAACAGTGGATCTCTCTGCAGAAACTCTATAAGCCAGAAGAGAGTGGGAGCCAAAATTCAATGTTCTTGAAGAAAATAATTTTCAACCCAGAATTTCATATCCAGCCAAACTAAGCTTCATAAGTGAAGGAGAAATAAAATCCGTTCTGGACAAGCAAATACTGAGGGATTCTGTCAACTCAGGCCTGCCTTAGAAGAGGTCCTGAAGGAAACACTAAATATGGAAAGGAAAAAGTGGTATATAAAAACCAGTGACCCTACGAAGTAACTACATCAACTAATGTGCAAAATACCTAGCTAACATCATGATGACAGGATCAAATTCACACATAACAATATTAACCTTAAATGTTAACAGGCTAAATGCCCTGAATAAAAGACACAGACTGGCAAATTGGATAGAGTCAAGAACTATCCGTGTGCTGTATTCAAGAGACCCATCTCACATGCAAAAACACACATAGGCTCAAAATAAAGGGATAGAGGAATAGTAACCAAGCAAATGGAAAGCAAAAAATAAAATAAAATAAAAATACAGGGGTTGCAATCCTAGTCTCTGCTAAAACAGACTTGAAACCAACAAAGATCAAAAAAGACAAAGAAGGGCATTACATAATGGTAAAGGGTTCAAGGCAACAAAAAGAGCTAACTCCGCTAAATATATATGTACCCCATAGAGGAGCACCAAGGTTCACAAAACAAGTTCTTAGAGACCTACAAAGAGACTTAGACTCCGACACAAAAATAGTGGGAGACTTTAACACCCACTTTCAATATTAGACAGATCAATGAGACAGAAAATTAACAAGTATATTCAGGACTTGAACTCAGCTCTGGATCAAGTGGACCTAATAGACATCTACAGAACTCTCCACTCTAAATCAACAGAATATACATTTTTCTAAATGCCATGGCACTTATTCTAAAATCGACCACATAATTGGAAGTAAAACAATCAGTCTTCATCAAATGCAAAAGAACGGAAATCATAACAAACAGTCTCTCAGACCACAATGCAATCAAATAAGAACTCAGGATTAAGAAACTCACTCAAAACCACACAACAATTTCCACACATGGAAATTGAACAACCTGGTTCTGAATGTCTCCTGGGTAAATAAGAAAATTAAGGCAGAAATAAAGAAGTTCTTTGCAACCAATGAGAACAAAGACATAACGTACCAGAATCTCTGGGACACAGCTAAACAATTGTTAAAAGGGAAATTTGTAGCACTAAATGCCCGTATCAAAAAGCTGAAAAGATTTGAAATCAATACCCTAACATCACAATTAAAAGAACTAGAGAAGCAAGGGCAAACAGTCAAAATCTAGCAGAAGACAAGAAATAACTATGATCAGAGCAGAACTGAAGGAAATAGAGACATGAAAAACTCTTCCAAAAATCAATGAATCCAGGAGTTGTTTTTTTTTTGAAAAAATTAAAATGGATGGCTAGCTAGACTAATAAAGAAGAAAAGAGAGAAGAATCAAATAGACACAATAAAAAATGATAAAGGAGATATCACCACTCATCCCACAGAAATACAAACTACCATCAGGGAGTACTACAAATACCTCTACACAAATAATCTAGAAAACCTAGAAGAAACGGATAAATTCTTGGGACACAAACACCCTCTCAGGACTAAACCAGGAAGAAGCTGAATGCCTGAATTGACCAATAACAGGTTCTGAAATTCAGGCAGTAATTAACAGCTTACCAACAACAACAAAAAAAAACCCAGGACCAGATAAATTCACAGCCAAATTCTACCAGGGGTAAAAAGAGGAACTGATATTATGCTTTTTGAAACTATTCCAAGCAATAGAAAAAGAGGGACTCCCCCCCAACTCATTTTATGAGGCCAGCATCATCCTGATACCAAAACCTGGCAGACACAAAATAAAAAAAGAAAATTTCAGGCCAATTTCCCTGATAAACATCAATGCAAAAATCATCAATAAAATACTGGCACACCGAATCCAGCAGCATATCAAAAACCTTATCCACCAGACCAAGTCAGCTTCATCCCTAGGATGCAAGGCTGGTTCAACATAAATCAGTAAACATAATCCATCACATAAATAAAATCAATGACAAAATCCACATGACTATCTCAATAGATGCAGAAAAGGCCTTCAATAAAATTCAGCATCCTTTCATATTAAAAATTCTCAATAAACTAGGTATTGATGGAACATATCTCAAAATAGTAAGAGCTATTTATAAAAAAACTCACAGCCAATCTCACACTGAATGGGCAAAAGCTGAAAGGATTCCCTTTGAAAATCAGCACAAGACAAGGATGCTCTTTCTCATCACTCCTATTGAACACAGTATTGGAAGTTCTGGCCCAGACAATCAGGCAAGAGAGAGAAGTAAAGCATATTCAAATAGGAAGAGAAAAAGTCAAACTGTCTCTGTTTGTAGACGACATGATTGTATTTTTAGAAAACACCATCATCTCAGCTCAAAAACTCCGTAAGCTGGCAAGCAAGTCTCAGGATACAAAATCAACATGCAAAAATCACAAGCATTCCTATACACCAACAATAGACAAGCAGAGAGCCAAATCATGAGTGAACTCCCATTTACAATTGCTACAAAGAAAATAAAATACCTAGGAATACAACTTACAAGAGACATGAAGGATCTCTTCAAGGCGAACTTGAAGAGTTCCTTGCTCAAGGAAAGGAACAAACCACTGCTCAAGGAAATCAGAGAGGACACAAACAAATGGAAAAATATTTCCATGCTCATGGATAGGAAGACTAAATATCATGAAAATGGCCATACCACCCAAAGTTTATAGATTGAATGCTATTCCTATCAACCTACTGTTGACTTTCTTTGCAGAATTAGAAAAAACACTTTAAATTTCATATGCAACCGAAAAAGAGCCTGTACAGCCAAGGCAATCTAAGCAAAAAACCACACACACACACACACACACACACACACACACACACACACAGCTGGAAGCATCATACTACCTGACTTCAAACTATACTACAAGGCTACAGTAACCAAAACAGCATGATACAGTTATCAAAGCATATATATAGACCAATGCAACAGAACAGAGACCTCAGAAATAACACCACACATCTATAATCATCTGATCTTTGACAAACCTGACAAAAACAAGCAATGGGGAGCAATGGGGAAAGGACTCCCTATTTAATAAATGGTGCTAGGAAAACTGGCTAGCCATATGTAGAAAACAGAAACTGGATCCCTTCTTTATACTTTATACAAAAATTAACTCAACATGGATTAAAGACTTAAAAATAAAACTCAAAGCCATAAACCCCCTAGAAAAAAACCTAGGCAATACCATTCAGGACATAGGCATGGAAAAAGACTTCATGAGTAAAACACCAAAAGCAAAAGCAATTGCAACAAAAGCCCAATTGGCAAATGGGATCTAACTAAACTAAAGAGCTTCTGCATAGCAAAAGAAACTATCATCAGAATGAACAGGGAACCTACAGAATGGGAGAACATTTTTACAATCTATGCATCTGACAAAGGTCTAATATCCAGATTCTAGAAGAAACTTAAACAAATTTACAATAAAAATAAAAACCATCAAAAAGTGGGTGAAGGATATTAACAGACACCTTTTTTTTTTGAGATGGAGTTTCGCTCTTGTTACCCAGGCTGGAGTGCAATGGCGCGATCTCGGCTCACCGCAACCTCCGCCTCCTGGGTTCAGGCAATTCTCCTGCCTCAGCCTCCTGAGTAGCTGGGATTACAGGCACGCGCCACCATGCCCAGCTAATTTTTTGTATTTTTAGTAGAGACGGGGTTTCACCATGTTGACCAGGATGGTCTTGATCTCTTGACCTCGTGATCCACCCACCTCGGCCTCCCAAAGTGCTGGGATTACAGGCGTGAGCCACCGCGCCTGGCCAAAAGACACTTTTTAAAAGGAGACATTTATGTGCCAAAGAAACACACGAAAAGAAGCTCATCATCACTGGTCATTAAAGAAATGCAAATCAAAGCCACAATGAGATACCATCTCATGCCAGTTAGAATGGTGATTATTAAAAAGTCAGGAAACAACAGATGCTGGTGAGGCTGTGGAGAAACTGGAATTAGTTTAATCATTGTAGAAGACAGTGTGGTGATTCCTCAAGGATCTAGAAATAGAAATACCATTTGACCCAGCAATCCCAATACTGGGTATATACCCAAAGGATTATAAATCATTCTACTATAAAGATACATGCACATGTATGTTTACTGCAGCACTATTCACAATAGCAAAGACTTGGAACCAACCTATATACCCATCAGTGATAGAATGGATAAAGAAAATGTGGCTCATATACATGATGTAATACTATGCAGCCATAAAAAAGAATGAATTCATGTCCTTTGCAGGGATATTGATGAAGCTAGAAGCCATCATTCTCAGCAAACTAACACAGGAACAGAAAGCCAAACACCACACGTTCTCACTCATAAGTGGAGGTGAAGAATGAGAACATATGGACATAGGGAGGGGAACATCATACAATGGGGCCTGTCGGGAGTAGGGGGCAAGGGGAGGGAGAGCATTAGGACAAATGCCTAATTCATGCAGGGCTTAAAACCTAGATGACAGGTGAATAGGTACAGCAAACCACCATGGCACATTTATACCTAAGTAACAAACCTACACATTCTGCACATGATTCCCAGAACTTAAAAAAAAAAAAATCTTTTATGGTTGATTTCACAAGTTAGTAGTTCAAAATCTATTATATTCATTTTCTAAATGGGATAAATTAGAATATATATGTTACAACAAGTTTCTATTAAGCTTAAAAAATCTTATTTTCTCTAGGATTAATATACTCCATACTTACAGTTTAATATAATCTCTCCTTCACTAAGATAAAGTATGCTTGGAAGAATGCCATAATCAATCACCTATGCAGATCGAAATAACATCAGATTTGTATGAAGTCTATGTAATGTTCACTACTTTGAAAATGTGCACAAATAAAGAACTTACATTTTTTGACATTCTTTTCGTTCTCCCAACATGGGATCCCCCATTTCTCCAAGAATGGTAGCTTCCACTTCATATTGAACAATGAGTGCTTTTTCTGAGGGATGTACATCGATATTCCCTCCTTTAACTTTCCTATAATACAAAATTGAAAAGGTATAACCAGACTAAAACTCTCAAAGTGGCCATGGTTTTATCTATTTTTAGGTCTGCAACATATGGGTTGGATTAACATGTGCATTTGAATCAGATTTATTCTTGACCCGGGATTAGAGATAACTCTTTTTCTCTAACTATATACATACATATATATATCTTTGTCATGCATAAAGTATCTTTATAAATAGCTCTACTTAGGAAAAAATACATTTACCAAAGAATTATGCATAAAAGCAAGTGAACGAAACATAAACAATTAAGATAGCTTTCAAGAGAATGACCTCAACTAACAGTCAGTTATTCAAAACCAAAGCCAGCTGCTTGGAAATTTATACTAAAAGAAAAAGTCAGGGCACGCATGATGACTCACACCTGTAATCCTGGTGACTTGGGAGACCAACGTGGGAGAAATGCTTTAGGTCAAAAGTTTGAGACAAGCCCAGATAACATAGCAAGACTCTGTTTCTACAAAAAGTTAAAAATTAGCCGGGCATGGTGGCAGGTGTCTGTACTTCTAGCTAATCGCAGGCTGAGGCAGAAGGATCACTTGAACTCTCTGATTGTGCCAATGCACTCCAGCCTGAGCAATAGAATGAGACTCTCTGTTAAAAACAACAACAACAACAACCTGCCCACTAACTGCCCATTTACTGGATCAAAAGACAGGAAGAAATTATCTATATTACAATATATGTCATGCATCATCTAACGTAATTGTACAAGTTGTAGCATTAGTACCCAAATAAAATCAGAATCACATCCAAATTACATAGCAAAAAAAGCATTTACAGGTTAGGTAGGCTGTATAGTCACATATTCCAAATTATAGTGTCAATAGTAGGTTCTATGGAAAGGTTGTACACACTCTTTCCTCAAGCCCATATAGTCACAAAATGAATTCTTAATTGCAGTAAACCAATAACGAATTAATCACTATTTGCCACTTGGCCATTTTAGAAGGTGACAAAGTTAGTTGTGCTGGAAGACATTAAGCAACAGAAACAAGCAAAATTTCTCATTCTTAGTCCTAGCTGGCAGCTAGCTGATTAGTGAGGTCTTTTAGCCTGATAAGAAAAAACAAAAATATGACATCACCTTAAATTTAATTCCAATAATTAGAAATTCGAAGCTTTTCTTTCAGTTGGAAATAATACTTGGACTAATTATGCATATTTTCCAAGTAATTTTTAACTGCTCTGTTCACCAGAATTTCCTATAAAAATGAGATGGATCTGCAGTATTAGGGTTATGATTAACAGTCAAGTACAGAGATAGGGCAGAAAGTTAAGTACACTAAAGCATAGAGTCTAGGTAGGTCAGCAACTAAAGTGATAGTAAGAAATATAGGACAAGTAAAGAATGAAAACAGAAACCAGGCAGGCCAGCAAAAATCAAGGAATTAGGAAATGAGATATAAACATATATTTTAAAATGGTACAGATTCGAAAAGGTAAGATGAATGGATACATGTACAAAAGGTACAGAAGTCACAGGGATCAAAAGCTGAAAAACAGATGTAATGCAGCATCACAGAAACTATCTTAATTACATAAGGCAAACTAGTTCCTGCCTTCCTGATAACATGAAAAGCAGCACCAGTATTGGAGTTTTTATAACTGTATCCAGTTAAAGGAAGAGAAGAATAAGGATAAAATATAAATGCAGATCCTTAGAACAGCCTCCTACTACCATGTTAAAATGAGTCTTCTACATATTGGGAGCTGGGGGAATTGCATAATTCTCATCATCTGTGGTCTCATATCTTGCCTTTCCTTAAAGGAATCAAATAATTTAAAAGAAAAAAAATGAAACGCCTCACTACTCGTTTTTAGTTTTTCTTTGCCTCTTTTGCTGTGTATGTGTGTTTTAGAGGAATAAGTTAATTACAATTTATCACAAAATCAACTTATGTTTATTATAGAAAAAATAAAACAGAAATGAGCAAAGAAAAAATAAATTCAAAAACTTACAAGAAGGAATCACTTGTTATTTTACCACATATACATTCAGATATTTTTCTATCTATATTAAATAATATACAAAGAGAGAGTGAAAGCTACAGTTTTTTTTAATAGAAGAAGCTTAACGGTAGCAATCTAGTAGGGGTGAAACTATCATTTTATCTTAAACATTCACAATGATGTCAGATATTTAACTATTGGGAGAATTATTTTCCAAATGTTCTACCCAAATTCCATTAACTACATGAAAAAAATTTACACCATTATTAGAAATTAACAATTTTCTATTTGAAGCATCCTATGACACTGATATTAAATTGGTATCTTTTAATTAGTTGCAAATTTCTTCTACTAATAGAGCCTTCTCAGTAACAGCTCTGCTTCACTTTTTCATAAATGCACAAGAAAACTGGAACCAAAAGTGTGCTAAATTGACTTAGAAAAATCGTTTTTTTAATCTCGATGAGAAGTTACGCTTCACAGAGTAATATAAAACACACCTTCTATAACTACATATGATAAACTCCCTTTTGGGACAGTGTTCTTAATTATTAACTTCTGAAGTATATCCTTATGTTCCTAGATTTCATGTGGTTAGAGATATTATTATGACCCTTAAGAGAGACAATAAATGCTGATGAACCTTGTGTTGCCACCCATTCATTATCAATTTTCTTGAGAAACCAAAAATGTAGTCCTTAACTTTTCATTAAACAGGTACTTTAAAAAAACTATTCCTGTCAAAAGCATTTACTGCAAAATAAAATTGTATCAAATAATGAAATGAAAAAAAATCTGTAGATTTATACCATACAGCAAATAACAAAGCCATTGTAGGAAGTGTTCAGTCTACTCTCCATAAGCTCTCTGGCAGGACTGCTATACATCTGTTTCCTGCATCTGTTTGAAAATGACCCAAAATAGGCTGGGCACAGTGGCTCACACCTGTAATCTCAGCACTTTGGGAGGCCGAGGTGGATGGATCATTTGACGTCAGGAGTTTGAGACCAGCCTGGCCAACATGGTGAAACCCGGTGTCTATTAAAAATACAAAAATTAGCTGGGTGTGGTGGCACTCGCCTATAATCCTCCTACTTGGGAGACTGAGGCAGGAAAATCACTTGAGCCTGGGAGGTGGAGGTTGCAGTGAGCTGAAATCACGCCATTGCACTCCAGTCTGGGTGACAGAGTGAGACCTGCCTCAAATCTCAAAAAGAAAAGAAAAATACCCAATATGTAACTGTCCACAATTCCAATTGACCCTACCAACTGTTAGTATATGTATGCATTTCCACAGTTTACAGAATGGGGATGGCACAATAGGGGGACTAAAAGGGGGACTCTATTCACTGCTCACAGGTCTCATATACTGCTAGACAAGACACTAGAAGAAGCTGGAAGTACAAAGTGAAAAACTATCAAATCCTCCAACTCAGCTTATTTGAATGTAATTACTAATGATACCTTCATAAAATGTTTAAAAACTGGGACAAATGCTGAATTAGATAGGGGTGTAGGAGAGGAACGGCTGAAAACCAGGATTGTCTAGGGAAAAGAAGCAAAAAATGATGACCCTAACCAAATCTAATCCTTTCTTGCCTACTCCAAGATGCTCTTCAGTAATTATTTAGTAGTCCATTCCCATATGCAAATAAACACTTGACAAGGTCTCAGGTTAAAAGCCAAAAAAACAAAAAAACAAAACCCAACCCTGAAAACCCTACTTTGCTTAATGCCACTGTTGGATAACACCTTGATATTAATCCTATTAACACTGCTTTTCATTGTCACCAAACTCCTTTTGTGTTTTTTTTTTTCTTCATTGCTTTTCTCAAACCGATCCAAAGCTTACAAAACTTCTTTTGTTTTGATAGTTACTCTAATTAGTCTACTCACATGTGAATTCATTCCAATTACACTTCGGCTCTTATGCCACTCTCACTCTACCAAAAAAACTCTGGTCAAGGTCATCAATTTCCTCCATGTTCTAAATATTTAAAGTTTTGATCTTCACATTTTGGTCTTTATCTGTATATTATTTTTGTGTTTTGTGGGAATAAATTTTATCTTTTTTCCACAGAAATAACCAATTGTATCAGCAGGTTTTGCTGTGTCTTTTAAATTTTTTTGCTTTTTTTGGCACAAGTCATAGTCAAGCACATTTTGCATCGGGAACCAGTATGTACCCACACACACAAATGAAACAAAAAAATTCATGAAATAATGCCTATTCTTACCATGTGAAAAGCATTCTATCCTATTCACAACACACTGACACATTATAAACAGCTTAGAAATAAAAATTTATTAGGCCGGGCACGGTGGCTCACACCTGTAATCCCAGCACTTTGGGAGGCCAAGGTGGGCGGATCACGAGGTCAAGAGATGGAGACCATCCTGGCCAACATGGTGAAACCTCGTCTCTACTAAAAAATACAAAAATTAGTTGGGCATGGTGGCACGTGCCTGTAGTCCCAGCTACTCAGGAGGCTGAGGCAGGAGAATTGCTTGAACCCAGGAGGCTGAGATTGCAGTGAGCTGAGATTGTGCCACTACACTCCAGCCTGGTGACAGAGCGAGACACTGTCTCAAACAAATAAATAAATATCAAGGTGTTAAGCAACAGTTGCTGGGTTTAACATCTACCTACCTCCCACCCTCAAATTGAATTTTGATATAGTTGGTTAAATAGTGTTAGAAAAAAAGTTATTTATGAATGCAACTAACAATATAAGGTACTTGGGAATAAATCTAGTAAATGATGGGTATCATCCTTCTAAAGAATACCTGCAATACCACTGTCTCAGTGAGTTGTTTACAGTCTTTTTCTTTTTACCACTGGTTGGCAATGTTACTACTGCAAAAATGGCAATAAACTGCCTTTGCAAAAATTATAACAGAGAAATCTAACCTTACTCCAACTTGCTTCTGATTTCACATGCTACCTGCCTCTGTTGACTTTAAAACAAAAATGATAATCCCTTCCCAAAACTAGCACTGACACCACCTTTCTAA